AGAGAGAAGGTCCCTCCTGATCGGAATCTCCAGTGGAGAGCCGTCGAGGAGGGACACCAGGTCTGAGAACCATACTCGGGCTGGCCAGAACGGGGCTACTAGCAAAAGATGGACCCATTCCCGGCGTACTCTCTCTAGAACTTCCGGGAGCAGAGCGATCAGGAGAAATGCGTACAGACGAAGCTTCGGCCATGTCTGCACCATGGCATCCAGCCCAATTGGAGCTGAATGCGTGAGGGAGAACCAGAGCGGACAGTGTGTCGTTTCCTGCGACGCGAATAGATCCACTTCCACCTGGTTGAACTCCCCCCAAAGGAGCTCCACCACTTCTGGGTGGAGCCTCCATTCCCTGGGCCTCAGCCCCTGTCTCGACAGGATATCTGCCCCCTGATTTAGATACCCAGGGATGTAAACTGCTCTTAGAGAGAGGAGCTTCCCCTGAGCCCACAGAAGGATCTGGCGTGCCAGCTTGTACAAGGGGCGCGAACGCAGATCCCCCTGCCGATTGATGTAGGAGACCACTGATGTGTTGTCTGTGAGGACAAGTACATGATGCCCCCTTAGGTCTGGAAGGAAGTGTGTCACTTCAGCATGGCCAGCAGTTACGCGACGACAAGGAGCCTCTAACATCGGGCCTTGAACCAGGAACCAACGTTTCTTCCACATGTCTAAATTTATTATTTTATTAAATAATATAAAAGTGATTTTTTAAGACTTTTGAATTACTCAACCTTCAAATACATGAAATTGTGTTAAAAAGGTGTTCATTTCAGTTCATCTTTAATTCTAACTTTTTTCTCACGTAACAAACGGTAAAGAATGTTTCGCGTTGAAGAGCCACTAACAAAGTAACTTATTCACATAATGTTCTTTTCTTAAAATGTAAATGAGTGTAGATGTCAACTTTTTCATATATGTCTAGAGGATTGAAGTCTGTCAGGTAAAACATGAGCTTTTTGATGCAATTCAGTCAAACTAATATTTTATTCCAATGGTTACTCCTGGTCGGAGGCTTTCATAAACGTTGAGTTACGTTTCAACTAAGTTTAATGGTGCAACACAGACATATTTAGTAGAGCGTAAGTTGTAAATGACTGCCCCTTTATGTCAAAACTAGCCTAAGTTGTAACTTACTCACAGCCGGAGAAACCGGTCCCACGTCCACAGTGTTTACACTCTTCAGAACTTACACTCAACCTACTAATGGTTTACTTAGCATTGTCTCTCTACATTCAACTGGGACAGGAAGTAACATTGAAATATGACACATTTCAGCTTTAATCTATGAACAATGAGACTTTGTGACCTGAGCCACAGATCTCATGACACCAGGCTCTGTCCATCCTGATCTATGATCGGCCGACACACTGACATATCCACAGAGATCCTGACCGGCAGAGCAGATGTTCCCAGCCTCCTCTCTCTCATTGTCTCTTGTCGTTTCTCTGGCTCACCACGAGCTGTGATCACACTGTTCAGCTGGAGTCATGGCTCTCACGAAAGGATTTATGAATGGCCGTCAAACGATGCAACTGATGCTGTAGGTCACATGACAATGACAACATAACGGGTGTAGTAGGCCCGAATTTCATTCATACTACCTATAGTCATACTATAAAGAACATACTTTTGTACCGGTCACTAAGTTTCATACCAAATGTAGTATCTACTAAATAAAAAGTAAAATATAGGCTGAGGGGCCGTTCACACAGAACCCGTCTTTGCGTCTAAAGCCCCATTCACACGAAGAACGATAACTATAAAGATAACTACATTAGCGTCCACACCAGCGAATGATATTGTTTATTCCAAGCGCACACTCGTCTGCCGCTTTAAATTCTCGAGCTCTCGATAGCAGGATTGATTCTGATTGGCTCTCAATGTTTTTATTGTTCAACAGCTGGAAATGATCATTCTGGAAGTGATTCCAACGATATAGTTTCTCTGTGCCTTTATCGTTATGGTTGTGGTGTGGACTTTGCTATTCTTTAATATTGAGTCAAATTTTTAGAACCATATCTTTATCGTTATCTTTATAGTTATCGTCCTTGGTGTGAACGGGCCTTAAGAATGCAAGACGCAGTGTTCAGGAATGGTTTTGAAAAAGCGCAGCACAGAATGGCTCTACTGTAAACAAAAGCTCACAACGCTTGCCCTGCCTCCGGGGTCTTCTGATTGGTCCACTGTTTTGGAACTGACATTGATGTGAGTTCAACAGTTGAAATTCTTTTAGCTTGACACGGCGTCTTAAAAACGCGGCACTCATGTATGAGAGAGATGCTGCAAAAGACTCGATAGGAAAGTGCAAGCAATGGTCTAGCGTGTGTTTTCCACAGAAAAACAATGGAAAAGTAGTGTATTGGAATGGAAAAACATGTTGTGTGTGAACGGCCCTTTAAGCTGCCAAAAGGATACAGAAGTGCCCCAGGCAAGCGCTCGCAGGATGAGACAGCAAAACGTTCCTCAGGGTTTTTGACAGCGTGATGGTTAATTAACCAGGCTGCAAAAGTGTTCAGACTCATTTCCCGGGATGGCCAATGCATTCGTTTGCAGTGTATAAAGCTCCTTTAGATGAAAAGCTTTTGTCAAATGCAAGAATAAATGTCACTCCCGCACTAGAGTTTCCGGCTTATTACTGCCACTAGCAGGCTAACACATGCCACAATGCTAATACTGGATGAGCCTACTGAAAAGACCAGGTAGCAAGCACTAACCTGTGTAAACTAGTCTTGCAGATTTAGACCTTTAATCAGTATGTCTGGTTCACTTTGCAGCTTAATCCTGCCAATCAATGCCCATTAAAGGGGGTTCGCACTTGATTTTTTGTTTCATTGTCATCCATTCAATCGCATATGAATGCTGGAGACAGGAAACGCAAGCTCATATGAATTTCACGAATGTTGAAGTTTGGTGAACTGACCTGCAAATTTGTAAACATGTGAAGACGTGATCAAAAGGATATCTTTAAAAAATAGAATACTAGAATTCTATTGGCTAGCTGGTTAATTATTCTGATTTTTTTTTTCATTTGACATTTCCGATTTTGGCATTATGATATTCTTCTCAAATGCTGTACAGCCAATCTGTGTTCCTTCACAAGACTGCTTGTGCAAAATCTGCAAACGCGAACAGTAATAAATCCAATCTGCACTAAATTGTTTGCGATTGTAAAGGTTCTCATTTATGATTTATTATTGATTGATTTTAAATAGAGGTCATTCTATAGTGGATGATTATTTTGCTGGGGCACTGCTCCACCTGCTTGTTCCTCTACAGACCAACATGTTTACCATCTTAAAGTTCCTGACGTGCTGCTAACCTGCTAATCTCATGACATCAGACGTGTCTTTTCCCTTGTATCCCTTTGTGAGCTTGCCTTGAACCTGTGACCTTTAAGGTTACCAACCCAGGTCTTTAACCACTGCCTGAATCTTCATTAGCTCGTAAAGTTTTACTAACATACTGCTGTCCTGTAGTGGTGTGCTCATGGTATTTGGGTGTGTGTGTGTGGCTCCTGGAAGACTATGGCAGTGTTCCTCCTCTTCTCACCCCCTGCGATTAGCATCTCTCCAGGAGGAAGTGAGGGCTTCAGGAAGGGAAGTTTAGGAACAGGAGGGCTCTATTGTGTGTTTTTTCTTTGGAATGCTATTAACACTATTTTCCGCTGGTTCTGAGACCCGCTGACCCTGGTCACACAGAGAAACACTTTCCTTCTAAATATAAAACATCAAGAGCATTTGAGGTAAACAGACAGTCATTTATACATTTCATCTCAGATCTCAGGGGACTTAGTTTAGGGTACATACACTGAACAAAATTATAAACGCAACACTTTTGTTTTTGTCCCCATTTTTCATGAGCTGAACTCAAAGATCTAAGACTTTTTCTATGTACACAAAAGGCCTATTTCTCTCAAATAATATTCACAAATCTGTCTAAATCTGTGTTAGTGAGCACTTCTCCTTTGCCGAGATAATCCATCCACCTCACAGGTGTGGCATATCAAGATGCTGATTAGACAGCATGATTATTGCACAGATGTGCCTTAGGCTGGTCACAATAAAAGGCCACTCTAAAATGTGCAGTTTTATCACACAGCACAATGCCACAGATGTTGCAAGTTTTGAGGGAGCGTGCAATTAGCATGCTGACTGCAGAAATGTCCACCAGAGCTGTTGCCCGTGAATTGAATGTTCATTTCTCTACCATAAGCCGTCTCCAAAGGCATTTCAGAGAATTTGGCAGTGCATCCAACCAGCCTCACAACCGCAGACCACTGTAATGTGGGGTTTGGGTTTTGTTTCTTCTTCATGTTTTCATGTCTTTTATTTTGGAGTTTAGTCATGGTCCCTGTTTGTGTTTTGCTTCCCTTGCCCTCATGTATTCATGCTATTGGTTCCTCTGTTCATTGTGTCATGTTCTGATTGGTTGATTTAGATTCTTGTCGATGTGTTTGATATAGGTCTTGTTTGAGTATTTTGGTTTAAATTGATTAAAGTGATAGTTCACCCAAAAATGAAAATTCAAGCTCATGTTGTTCCAAACCTTTAGGATTTTCCCTTTTCTGTGCAACCTAAAAGAAGACCATTTGAAAAAAATGTGTTTTTTGTTCTATGCAATGAAAGTCAGTGGGTCCTGTGTTAAATATATAATATAATTAGATTAAAAACAAATGTTGTTGGGATTGGCAGTTTGGCAAAAACATTTTTTTGAGTGTTCAAAAGAAGTATTCATGAGCTCAAATGTGTGCCATAGTATTGATGAAGATATGACAAGAAAAAATAACACTGTTAGATTATTATTAATAAATCATCAATGTTTTGAAAAAGAAACGTCTAAAAGGAATATGATTGTTTCACATAATCTTGTCACTTCTGAGTGCTTGAGTTTTCATGGCCATCCCTAATTTGTTGGAGGTTGTTGGATCAGTATGATTTTGTATATTTGTGATTATAGATTTGATTATAACAGTGCTTTTCTGTCCATCTTTCTTCTGCAGGTGTGTATGCTGCCACGACAGATCAGGACGCTCTGCCCCTCCATACCTCCACACGCGCTGAGAGAGGCACAGAGTCTGTTTGTGCAAGAGGTAAAACACACACACACACACACACACACAAAGACCCCCCCCACACACACATACATACACACACACACAAACCTACACACACACACACACAAAGACCCACCCCCCCCACACACGCATACACACACACACACACACAAAGACCTACACACACACACCCACACACTTACAGAGCACTTTCTTTGAATCCATAACTTTACTGTCTCACATTTATTGATTTATATTTTACCTTCTCAGTCATACAGAGTGTGTGTGTAATACAGAAAAGCACAGCACCGATTGTTCTTTAACAGTATTTGAGCGTTTGACATCCTCACACATACTGACTGCACTCAGAGGATTTCCTCTGTTGTTTATAGAGAGGACTTTGTCCGAGATTGACCTTCATTTCACGTAACACACTCACTCCTAGCTGAGAGGAGAATAGTGCTCCATTGTTCTGCAGATATCCCCACTTCTTTATTAGACTCACTGCCAGATAGGTATAAACTCATGGGATACTCCCAAACTATTTAAACTACACACACACACACACACACATACACACACACATGTTACTGGCAGACACATGGCTGGTCTCCAGCAGAATATATTGAACATGAGATTTCTAAACCTAGTGAGCTTCATCTCTGTCTGCTGTCTACACGAGAAGCTGCCTTCAAAACGTGCGGCTAATAAAATGCAGGTATAATTGACAACATATTAACCCCATAAAGCCTGATGTATGAAACAATAGTCAGATAAATCAATGAGATCTTTATAACAGTATGCAGAATAACAAAATGCATATAAATATCAGCTGTCAATTTGTATCTCCCAATAATAAGCAAGATGATATTTAAATGCTTATTTTTATGATCGAAGTTCTGTAGTTTTAATTATGGGGGAAAAACACTAAATGTAATGCAATAAAATGATGATTGAGAGAACGTTCCTCAGAAGTCTGATGGATTATATTTGATACTCACTTTTTAACATGATTTTTCTAAGTTGCTTCAATCCAGTGAGTCTTCAGCTTTTAATAGTACTACATTTTAAAAGTTATTCTTATGTGTACTTTGGGTTTTTGTGAAGCATAGATGTTTTGCTTCCTTAGAATTTGGTCAACATGAGGTAGATAGAAAGCAGCGTAATTCTTCTGTAACAGCTTTTATGTCTAGTGTGCCTGTGATGCCTAAAATGTTGCATCTTACTGTTGCTGGAGTGTGTTTTTAACTTTCATCAGGTTTGTGCAAATATGATCTCATGTTGTGTGTTTAAATATTGAGTGGTCCTTCTGTTCCCCTTTTTTTTCTTTTTTTTTTACTGTTGAGAAATGGGTTTTCCTGCTCCTGCCTTTCATCTCTTTTCCCCTCTTCCTAAAAAAAATCAGATTGGACAGAGAGCAAAGGATTGAGGGAATAAATGAGATCTTTTTGAGCACAGGGTGACTTTGCATAAAACAATGACTCAAAAATAGTAATGCTGTTGCATTTCCTTTCCTGTCAGAAAGGAGAAAAGCAGTCAAGGATGTGGTTGCAGTTAACACTCATGCTCCAGATAATTTAAGCTGTGGTGTTCAGGCAAATGATGCAGGTTTGAATCCGGTTTGCGATTCGTTATGATCCCATTTCACTCCCTTGAATAGTTTCCACTCTTTATTATTGTAATTGATATTCAAAAAAAAAGTGCACTGCATACATATTATTAGTACATTACATATGTGCACAAAATAAATTCATTTAGTACAATAATATTGTATTAAAGTATTTATTATTATTTTGAATTAGTTTTTATTTTTATATTTTACATTCACAGTTTTTTTTACACAATTTGGTTGTTTTTGACAGTTGTATTAATTATTTGTATATATTTTTATTATATCTTCATTAGTATTTTATTAAATATTTAATGTTAATTTTTTTTTCACTTTTAGTTGAGTTATTTTTAGTGATTTAAATAGTTTTTTTTATTATTTTATTTTAGTTCAGTTAATGTTCCTTTATTTCAATAAATATGAATTATAATAGCACTGAAAATTGAATTAAATAAAATTACATTTAATTTAAAAAAGAAAAAGGAAAAATAAATGATTTAATCTTTTAGATGAACTATTTTCTCCTTATTTGTTTATTTACTTAATTTTAGTTAATTGGTTCATAAATTGAATTCACAGATTGACTCCTAGGGGCTTTTTCTTTAATGGAAGGACAGTAGAGAGAAGGAACAGGACATCATGGACAGAGAAAGAAAGAGTGAGACTAAGACATGTTGCAAGTCAGAAATGAACCCACATCTCCGACTTGAGCACCACTGCTTAGCCTGTCAGGAGTGCTAACTGCTAGATCTCAGATCCAACTCACTTTGGCTTTCAAAATCACCTATTTGAGTCCTTTTAATAAAGAGAGTTTGTGTGAGCGATCATAATTTTGTATATGCCAAAGGTAATGCTAATGATGTTAATGCTATTGTGTTTATTCTTACAGTGCATCAAGTCTTACATCTCTGACTGGCATGTTGTCAATTACAAATATGAGGATTATTCCAGTGACTTCCGTCAGCTCCCCAAGTAAGAACCTCAATTAGACTGAAACATGTTGCAGCCTGTGACTGATTATAGCTGTAGGGACAGAGGACTGCAGGGTGTCATTGTTATAATGTTCTCCTAGGCTGCTCTGTGTGTGTGTGTGTGTGTGTGTGTTATTGTCAGCTCTTGGAAAGATGTTTGTGTTGGCGAGAGCAGGAAATGTGTTTTGCTGGGTAACAATAGAGCAGAGGAACAGTGAGTGAGGCCATCATCTCCACATTGCCACATACACACACATACAGAGCCTTTAACTGTTTAAATGGCCATCTGTTTTTTCATCTTTTAATGAGACAAAGTGGAGCAGGATGAGACTGCGGCCAAGATCTGATTATCTGGAGAAAGAAACATACAAACTTTCATTAAAAAGTCATTACCAATCATTATATAATACTGTACAGATAGGTAGGAAGTTTATGTAGACACGAATATAGATGAAAATAAATTCCAAGCAAGCAAATTAACATGCAAAATATATCACAAATATAGATTAAATAAATTTTTCTTGTAGGTGCTTTTAATTTTGTCTATTTAATTTTTCTATGTACATAAAGAAGTCTCTTATGCTTAGCAAGGCTGCATTTATTTGATCAAATATACAGTAATATTGTGAAATATTTTTTACTATTTAAAATAACTGTTTGTATTTGAATATATTTAAAATATAATTTATTCCTGTGATGTCAAGCTGAATTTTCAGCATCATTACTCCGTCTTTGTTCTGGGTCAGGCCAGAGAATCTCGTCCACATCACAGGCTATATTGGCCCTAGACAGGCAGCGAGGGTAAAATCCTCTTGCATGCCTGATCCACCCCTGGCATGCATCTACTGATATATGTCTAGGCAGGCTTCTTCCATGGCCTGGAGGAGGTGAGCACGGATATAAGGTTCTCGGTCATACACTTTCCACCGCCATGCCGAAAAAAAACTCCTCTACCGGGTTTAGAAAGGGAGAGTATTCAGGCAGAAAGATGTTAGAAAACCTCGGTTATTGGTAAACCAGTCACGAACCAGAGCAGCGCGATAGAAAGCTGACATTATCCCAAACAACAATGTAACGAGGCTGCTCTGGCTGTGCTGGTTCCCTGAGG